TTTTTGATAATCAGACAGACAATCAGTATTACCTCTTCACGTGATTTAAATTAAAATGTAATTTAGGTTTTAGAATATAGGATTATATATTAAAGACTTGAAATAAAATAAATAAATTATATATTAAAGACTTTCAGATTTCGTCATGTATTTTGTACCGCTATGGTTTAATTTGAATGCTGTGATTGCCTTCCTAAAGTAAAAATAAAAATATATTAATACTTTCAGTATATATATTTAACCAATTTGACTACCTTTTTTTATACATAAAATATAGATTAAGTGGAATTTCGGTAATTCAGAGAGAATTTAAACATTTTAGGTACTTTTTATAGGGGTATCATATCTTTGGGACACAATGAATAAAAAAAAATTCGATGAATCTTTTTTAAAATAAATAAATAAATAAAAATATAAATAATGATTATAAGATACATTTTAAAGGTATTGTAGCTTGTAGGTCATTAATACTAAATGTACATCAATATATACAATAAGTACAATATAACTAATATAAGAAAGTTTGAAGTTCAGTACTAGTGACACGTGAGGGTTCCCGATAAGAACTCATTTACTCAATATACATTATCTAAACTTCGTAATGCATAATGCATAATTAGTGATATGAAAAAAATTTTTTTTTTTTTACCCCTAAAAAAAAGTTAAGCGTATTATACTATAAACATATAAATAAATAAATAACTAAATATATATATTTTTTTTATATTTATATTTTTATTTATTTATTTATTTATTTTCATTGTTTGACTTCTTATCTTTTCTCTCGTGCTACTCTTATTTTTGTGGAACGAATCACGCGAAATTGTGATTTTATTGATTTATTCAAAAAAATAAAAAGAAAAAAAATAATATTTTAAGAATACCATTTCCATTCTCATTCAAATAGATTTTCTACAACGAACCTTCTATAATTACGGAACGACAGTACATTTACACTTTTAATATAATCTATTTTTGGAAAAATTTAAAGACATTATACAATTCCATATCTGGTACAAAAAATATCGGACTTGATTCTCCTCGTGGTGCTAACCTATATGCAGGTAAAAGATAAGCCCGCGTGTTACAGACCAAGAACGATGCTTTTGCATATCAAAACATCATTCGGATTATTCGGATTTCGGACATGAGTTTTACGTTATTATAATTCAAAAAAATAAAACAAAACCAAAAAAAAAAACATTTTGTAGGTCATTAAAAAAAAAAATCTCTGTTTATTTTATTATTATAAAAAAAAAATTTCACAAAAAAAAATAAAATTTAATTACAAGAAAAAATATCCAAAAAAAAAAATCTGAAACTAATTAAAATATATATATATTATATATATAAAAAATATATATTTTTATATTGAATTATATGTGTCAAATGTCCATTCAAATAGATACTTCATTACAATATATAATATACTTTATTTTGAAAGTAAGGTAATAAAAATATCTTTTTTTTTTTTTTGAAACAATAAAATAAAATGGAAAAGAAATATTTTTGTTACTAAAAAAACCAATCACAAATTTCAATTGTTCCCTGAAATGCCCAATATACACAAAATCTGCTATAGTAATAATGAAAATACCCAACCCAAAGGGAGGAAAAAAAAAAATAAAAATAAAAAAAAGGGAAATGTTACAAAGTCGAAGGAAAAGAGGGGTAAAAAAAAAGAGACTAAATGAGAAAAAGTTAATATGCAAAATGCAAAAGGAAAAAAAGAAAAATGTAAAAAATATATAAAACAATTGAAAGTATTTTGTACAGGGGAGGAAGAAAAAAAAAAAGGAAATAAATATTTTTATTTTCTCCTCCGTTTTCCCTTTTAAATATGTAAATAAATATAAGGGATAAAAAAAAAATATGAAATAATTTTCATTCATCATCATATTTGAATTATCATCATTAAAAACCATAACATTGTCGTTATCAAAAAAAAACCCGTGTGTATAATGATATATTTTTTTTTTTTTTTTTTTCCTTTTTAAAATCAATACTTCAATGTTAATTGTACTGTCCCATCTTGATTAAGTTGAACATCTACTTCCATATCAGTTTCATCTTCAAGTTGATGAATTGAATCATCATCAATGCGAACGGTAAGATTACGTTTAGTGCATCTGACAACACTCGTAATCTGTTGACCTTGGAGATCAATTTTTTCGGAGAGCTTTTCAGATAATTTAGATATAAGATCCTGGAGAGTAAGATGATTTAAATAAATAGCGCGATACGCAGCCTCACCCGGTAATTTAACATAGATACAAAGCACTAAAAGAAAAAAAAAAAATTTTTTTAATGAAATCTCTAAATTAAAAGTTCGAAACAAAAATAAATAAATAAATAAATTTTTACCTGCTCGTTTTTTTCTTAAATGTGGAATATATGTTGGATCACAATCCAGTGGTTCCAAAAAATCAGGTCCCATAGAAAATCTTCTACGTTTACCTAATGGTAGAGGTATAAGGTCACCTCCTTCAACATCATCAAGATTATTTAAAGATTCCGAAAGGTTTAAAACATCGGCATCGTCGGACACTTCATTGGTACCAGTCATTTCATTAAATAATGTTACAGAATGCGGTGGAGCGTACATCATGATCATGGGTGTCGTTTCTTGAGTTTTACCTCTCATTTTTTCACACATTTTTTCAATATGTTTTTGATCATCTTTATTTTTACGTTCAGCACCCTTATCTCTAAATAATTTAATTTTTGCAAAAGATTTTTCCAAAGTTGTACAAGTTGATCCATTATCACTTTTGGTTTCCACTTGAATTCTTAAAGGAATTCCTTTAACACCCTTTATCCGTGAAAAATCAGTGGAAAGACAACTAAATCGTATGAAAATCTTTGCACCTTTCTTTCCATGCCAGCGAAATTGTAAGCGATCAAACGATTTTGTTTCTACATTACTAATTCCTGTTGATGCAGCTTTATCTTATCAACAAGAAGAAGAAGAAGCAAGAAGAAGAAGAAAAAAAAAGTAGTAACGCGTTAATATAAAAATAAATTTTATGTAATTTATACAATATATATATAAAAATATATATAAAACATACCAATATCGATAGCTCTAGCATTCTTTGGAGAATTTTGTTGTGTTAACCAAAAACTCCAATAAGTTGAAGCCAATTTACGGTGAGTATCATCATGAAACATTATTTTAATAATAGTTGTAAATTCACCATCAATTTTATCTTGGTCTTGAATACATAAACCATAATATTGACCTTTATTAAGGTAAGTCATTGGAGTTTCATCAGTTCGTTGAGCAGCAGCAGTAGGAGCCTCGAGCAAAATCTCAAATCTTAAATTTGATTGAGAAGGAGGAATACTAGCAGGTGGAGAAGGCATGCTTACAGGAGTTACAGTACTACTATAATTTGTAACTTCTTGATTTAATGGTTGTTGAGCATGTTCAATTGGAGGAGAATGATGATAAGTGGCCGCATTCGTATTAGAATTAGTTTGATGTTGATGAATATGATGAGACATATGATATTCATTTCCAGAATTTCCTCCATTAAGTGAGGTGATCGGAGAAAGAGCCGGTTGTGAAGATACGGGTACAGGATTTACGGAAGGTAAAGATGTTGAAGGCATTAAACCACCATGATTAATGAGGGAAGGATTTGTATGGGATTCGTGAAGTTCTGATTTGTAAGTTGGTGGAGGTGGAGGAGGGCTGAATTGATTAAGCGAAGCGGTAGTTTATTTTTGTTTTTGATTTTTATTTTAAAATATGAATAAATTAATCAAAAAAGAAATTTCGTAAACTTTTTTTATATATATTTTGTAAATTATAAAAGTACTAACAATGTTGTCGGTGAAAACACTTCTGGTTGATATCTGATACTAGATTAGATATACACCAGAAAAAAAATAATATAAGAATAATTCTTGTATATGGTTTTTTTTTTTTTGTATGCTAGGGCTGTCTCTTATACACATCTAGATGTGTATAAGAGACAGAGATAAGCCCGCGTGTTACAGACCAAGAACGATGCTTTTGCATATCAAAACATCATTCGGATTATTCGGATTTCGGACATGAGTTTTACGTTATTATAATTCAAAAAAATAAAACAAAACCAAAAAAAAAAACATTTTGTAGGTCATTAAAAAAAAAAATCTCTGTTTATTTTATTATTATAAAAAAAAAATTTCACAAAAAAAAATAAAATTTAATTACAAGAAAAAATATCCAAAAAAAAAAA